AATTGATTATAAAACTAATACAATATTTGATTTCACTGACGCCAAAAACATAAGAATATATATTATGCAACATATGAAGTTTCTTTTAAACATAAAATCCTGTGACCTAAGTCACTTAAACTTCTAAAATACGGTTTTTATTTAAAAACATATTTTATATTTGAATTCGGTGACTCCGAAAACATACAATTTGATATGCAGCTTGACATATTTTTAAAATTTTTAAAAAATTCCCCCCTTACCCCCTAAGTAGGGGGATGATTCAAAATATTATTTCAAATCTGAATTCAATGACCCCAAAAACATATAATTGGATATGTTGTTTTGTTTTTTAATCAAAATTTTAGGAGATATTAGTTTCGATCGTCTTTTTTGGATTCTAGACCACTGCGTGAGTCGTCGGTGACTATTATAAATAATATTATTGTAAAAAGCGTTGTTTTTTTGTTTCGTTTTACGAACTTCAAAGTTAAACGTCTGTCATCGCTGTTAATGTAAATATTTTTGTAAAAAACACTTTGTCAATAGTAAAAAAAAAATAAACTATACGATTCGTCGAATTAGAACGATCTTTAGTTAGCTTTATCGACAAAACCTAATCTAACCAGGAAACAAAACCCCAATAGGCCAATTCCACATACGGTGTATGCCTAAAGGATATTATGCAAGATTTCCGGTTAGTTGGGACGTACAAAACGAGAACCGTGTTGTCGGTGTTGTTTGCAAATCGTGGCTAATAAGAAGTATTTGTTTTATATTGTGCGGTGGAAGATTCATTTTCAATATTATTTTTCCGTTGAAAGTTCAACGCTCTTTGCGGCTGTGCATTCGTGTTAAAACCGATGCTCCTTTTGATTTGAAAGATTTCGAATTGTCCAAGTATTTTTACAGTACAAACAGAATCGTCCGCTCTGCCAAAACCCAGCAATGAGATAATCCGAAATTTTCCACTAGACGACACTATTCTAAGCGGTATGGTGTTTATTGGATATTTGAAAAAATACATAGGCAAGTCATTTGTATTCCTTGTGATCCGTTCGTTTAACAGGGCAGTCAGGAACATGACGCACATAAAAAGTCATTACTAATTAAGTATAGCATAGTTAATTATAAGAATTTGAACACACACCATGTTTATATTATCTGTATCTGTGACAAAAAAGACAATTTAAAACAAAATACACACGATCATTGAATAGAAAAAAACCTTATGTCTTGAATTTGACTAGAGTATTCTTAAAGATTGTAAAAAATTGTACTTGAATTCCGAACATTACAGAATCATAGGCGTGCGCACTGGACGATTATACTTTTTCTTTCGTAAATTAAGTACTGTAATTAAAATTAAGTTAGTAAAAATGTGGTTCTTGGTTGAAAAAAAAGTTATCCCAGCTACAAATTAAAAAAATGATTTCCGGTTCATATGTTGTTTATTGTGTATTTAAAAGTTTAAATGTATGATTTACACTAAAATACTTATAAATACCGTCAAATAATTTACAATACAAAATTCAATAGCTTGATTTAATTATCTTTTTTTTTGAGATTTTTCCTTAATAAAAAAAAAAAATTTACTACAGATTTTTTAGAAAATTGCATATGTTGTAGTTTAATTCTAGATTGTAATTCAATCTAATTTTTAAATCTTAATACCTTAAACTGTACTTGAAAATTTTAAATGTGAAATAAAGTAAACATTTCTATCCCTTCTAGGAGAAAGGGTTTATGATATTTTTTGGATTGTCAATGTTTATCGGTAGTACTAGGTTTAAGGAATATTCTATACAAATTTGGAACTAATTCGAATATTTTTAAGAAAGTTGTAGAGCATCGTAATTTTAAGTTGAAACGTATGTAAATTTTTTTGGTGTTTTTCTGGATTTGATGGGGAAGGGGTGAATTTTTAATTTGTTTGCCCATTAAAGTAAACTTGAAACTTCAATAGTAAAAAATGGTAAAAAAATAGTAATCCGATAATGAGTGATTCACGATAAGTGGATTACTTTGTACATTTGTTGAGTGTTTTTTTTTTAATCGTGACTTTTTTTAATGTTTGGCCTAAAAAGTATCTTTTAGGCACACTTTCTGTTCTTTGTTCTTGCTTAAGACATCGTGAGTCTAGACACAAAAAAAAAAGTGATAATAATAAAAAAACATAGATATCATTGTAAAAATATACCTTCTCAACTCTTAAAATCATAACTTGCGTTTAAAGTACTATAATTCGACGATGTGTCACATATATTTTTTTATGTTGTGGGTCAGTGGGTGGTAACAACCCGTATTTTATTAGATATTGTTAATTATTTCAGAAGTATGCTGAACGGCGCGTGCAATTATCTGTCTATATATAATATATCTATATATATATATATATATATTTTATATAGACACTTTATAATGGCGAAAACAGCTGTAACCACCTGACACCAGAGCGTCCCCGGCAAAAGTTGCAAATCAATAGTGTCGACATAACTCGGTATAATAATAGTAAGACAGAACTCACAAGCAGTCAGTATAATAATGTGCTTGACTAACGCTGCTACTCAATATTGACTTGTTAATTTAGTGTGCATTAATATTTTAATTTGTCTAATGTTTCACTAATACGGTTAGGTCATCGTTACATCGTTTTTTTTTTGTAAATTACCTATTATACAGCTGTAAGTAAACTTTTTGTAATTTATCATGTTATTGATACCTACCAAAACGCCAAATGTTTCTATAATAAATGTCTACACATTAATTTGAATAGGTGTAACAAAAATAACACGAGCAACAGGTTTTTTTAATAGATAATATTTGTTTTTTGATCAGTGTTTAACGTGGTTATTCGCATAGGTTGATGGATAGTATTCAAAACAAATAACCGCTTGACCTGACCAGAGCCGCGAGGTTGCTGCCCTGAAAGTTTTGGAAGCCCAGGGCAAGCCTGACAATTAACGCAATACAGGTGGTTTTTTTATAGTGGGCCTATCAATATCTCACTGAGTTTAATTATTAATAATTTAATTTTTTTTTCATAGTTATTTTTTATAACGCGATCTCAATTTTCCGCAAATTTGTATGTTTCTACCCTCCTCCCAAATTAGTATTTTTGATAGCAACTTTTGAAACTTCAATGGTAACGTACATATTTTATTAACTTTTTAAATTAAGAATATTTTACCAATAATTTCGACTGGTTGATAACCAGTTTCAAACCACCATTTTTAAAGTTATAAGAGTTTAAAAGTTAGGACGGGAGGGGAAGTGCGCGCAGATAAAATTAACACTACATTCCACCTTTATTCCTGCCCTAAACTTGAAACTACATTCTACAATAACTTCAAAAATAGTTATCCAAAACTGGTTATCGACTAGTCAACATTTTTAGTACGCTATTCTCAATTAAAAACATTAATTTAAAGTATGCGTTACCGTAAGTTTCAAAAATTGATATAAAAATAATTAGTTTAGAAAGAGGAGGTAAAAACGTAAAAATTTCAAAAAAATTGAGATCAAATTATATGAAAAAAAAAATTAAATTAATAACTAAACCCAGTGAGGTATTGAGTGGCCGATAATAAAAAAAAATATATGTACCTAGGTGTTAAGCCGACCCCTCTTCAATACAATAGTCAAACATAGGTTATAAGTTTGAAAGACTTGAAAATTTATATGAAAATTGTTCAGTAAATATATATCGTTTTGGATTTGTTACAATAAGTTTTTTAGTGTTAAAATGATTGTGCCTTAACCCGAAAATGGAAAACTAAATTATGACTTTGGCTAAATGTAGATTTTAACTTTGATATAGGTATATATATGGGGCATTATAAGTCAAACAGCGCAGTCATTTTTTAAAATTTGTTTTATGTACTTCTTTTGGTCAAATATGAGACCTTCAATTTTTTTTTTTTAATAATGAAATTTTTTTTTGAAAATCTGAAAAAATGTATAATTTTTTTTTATTAAAAAAAAATAAAACATGTTTTGGTAAAATTTGATTTTTTGCATATTTTGAGAGTAAAAAGTGAAAAATGTACCCTACGAATAAAATTGAAAATGAAAATTTTCAGAAGTTGAAAAAAAAATTATAATTACTTGATAAGTTAGGAATAAAACTCCGGCCCATTCCCGTTATTAGACAAAAACATTTGATTTGGATCGCTGATTTTCTGATAAAAATTTCCAAATTTTCGGTCGAAATCGATTTTTTATGAAAAATATCATAAAAAACCTCCATTTTAGGGATAAATATGAGTGCTTAAAATTTCTAAAAATCCAAGGTCTTATATTAGACCAAAAGTTCATAAAACAAATTTCAAAAATTGTTGAGGAGGTCGGGCCGATATATTATATAATATATAATTAAGTACAAATCTAACGGAAAATGTGAATTTTTATTAACGTGGAATTAGGAATATAATCAGTTTTACTTTTTAATTTCAAGGGGTTGCGGTCAACATCAGTTGTTATCACAAACTTGTAGACTGTACTTTATCATTTGAAATTGTTTTCGCCGGTGAGCAAAAATTGTGACGAACGCTTCAATTATTTTTTGTCAAAATTTTATCACTTTCATAAACCAAATATTACTTTTGTATTATTATATTATTCTCATCGCACCTACCCCTCGGAAATTCCGAAGTACCAACTCCCAAAAGGAAATAGGATTATTGTACTCCTATGCAAATTGTTAACGCTCGTAAAAAAAAAAACAATACACCTATCTCAGATCTCCGTGTCCGTTACTAAATGCAATGGAAAAAATTCAAACTGATTTTACCGCTTTCAAATTGTTCGATTTTTACAATTGTCAATAGACCTCAAGCAAGACCACAGCATAGACTAAATTTTAATTTTTATCTTTTCTGTGGCGAGACGTCCATTGGTTATTGTTTCCTTGTTTGTTGATAATTTTTTTTTCGTTGATGCTGTCGCCGATCAGCTGATAACGAAGAACACCGCAAATAAATTGATAAGATTATTTTGTTTTGGGAAAATATGATAAATATGATCTTATTGGACGCGTTTGCTGAGTTTATTACGTCAAGTCTGTAGGTCTGTAGTCTGTAGTCTGTAGTCTGTAGTCTGTAGTTTGTAATCTGCATTCAGTTGTCAAACTCGAGTGTAATGATTTATTAACTGCTCCGAACAATTCTCGTTAATTACATTTAATGATGTATTCATGAACAATGTGCTTATTGGCAATGTTCTTTAGAGAAATAAGGTAAGACTCGATGTGCACTTGCAAATTACCGATGAACTATAAAAGTCACCTCTTCCTAAAAGCCATAAAGGTTATCATAATGTATTATGATGTATATATACAGACACATAAATTCATGTACGCATCCTTCACTAATAATGGACCATAGTAATTAAACGTTTAATGTATGTGTATATGTTTTTTATTAGCCCCTTACACAATACAATAAAATACAGTTATTATTTAGTACATTTTTGATTTTACTATTTTTATTTTAGTTAAATTTTTTTTGTTTTGTAGGTAACACATAAGAAATGACAAGCTTTGAGTTGTAAGCGAAGTTGACATAACAAAAAAAATCAAAACAGCCAACAATGTATTCGGACGATCAGGTGTATATTGGCTTTTTGATTCTGTCATTTTTATTTAGTTTTTTATTCAGAAAAGTCAAACATAAAAATATCAAACAATGGCTATCTACCGTTTTCGGAGTGTTAATCGTGCTATCCGTTTCGGGCTATCATGTTTTCCATCCTATTTTTTGTACCCTAGTCAATTCAATACTAATACAAGTCGACAAAAGGTTTGAAAAAATTACTATACTATGCTGTACAACAGAGCGTTTGAAACCATGTAGTTCAATAATTTTTTTTTCCTTAGGAGATGTCACATACTTAGTTTTATATTTACTTTTGGATACCTGGTTTTTTTCCGGACAACAACATACTTTGGTTTTCCATACCCGCCTGCTCATGCCAACTTGATACAAATGATGTTAACTTTGAAGGTGAATACATTATTGCTCATGCTTATTCGACCTCAGATATAATAATAATTGTTTTGTTTTTGGCTGTGATTAGTTGGTCGGCCTATCATTTGAAGTCCATGACAGTTACCAGATTTTGTTAGAATCAAAGGATAAAGATGTTGAAGCTAAAAAAAAGTTTAAAATTATTAATCAACCTAGTATTTTGGAGGTTTTTCATTACAGTTTTTGCTACATAGGAGTATTGACAGGTATATTTAGAATATTGCTTTAGTTTTACTTTTATCAATCATTTATCATTTAATCATACTAAACAGGGCCGTACATCACATATCGTACATACTGGGATTTGTTCAATCGACAACACTGGCAAAAGGCTGCATATTCTGATTTGTTGTGGGAAAAATTACGAGTTATTCCACCATTGATAATATGTTATTTCATTACATTTTGGTTATTTCCATTGAGTGTAAGTACAAACATAATAAGTTGGCAGTAGCTTATAAACATTTTTATTACCTTTTTAATTTACGAAATATTAATTTTACAATAATTACTATTATCTATTCTAAATTGCTTTGTGTTGGTACATTTTTTTCTAATATTTCTTTAAACTATAAAACTTATTATTATTATTATTTTTATCTCTTAAATCGGATAACAATTTGTGTTTACCAATACAGTAAATTATGAAATTTAATTATTTAATTGGTTATAATAATTAAATAATTATAGTTAAATAATTAAAAAAAAGTGCTATAAATGCTTAATTGTATTTATTATTAAATTAAATGATTTAATTTGTTGAAACCTAACATCATAAGTAATTTAAAACACTTTAAATTGCTATTACTATTTAAAATGTATATACTATTAATATTATATTTTTTTAATAAATTATAGGAATTCAATAACGAATCATTTTATACAGCCACGTCGTTATTGTACAGAATATGGTATATGTACACGTCATTTTTTATATATCGAACACGGATATATTTAGGTTTTATACTTTCTGAGCTTATTTGTATAGCTTCTGGAATGGGTGCTTATCCTGTATCAACTAATCCACAGTCGGGACGTGGACCAACCAAAAATTTTGATGTGATAGAAACGTTTGTTTTTTATTTTAATTAACGTGTGCATTCAAATAGTATTATTACTATTGTCAGTTACATGTTTTTTTTATTTCAATAGGTCATCTGAAGAGTGTTATAGCTTTGAGTGTATTAAGAGTATAGACATCATGAAAGTAGAATCTATCTCAACCGTCCGCGGTGCTACCAGAATATGGAACATGACTGTGCAATATTGGATTGCGGCTTATGTGTACACGAGATTTCCTATAAAGAAATTAAGGTAAAATATGCAATAATTGTTAAGTGTAGTCTTAGGGTCTTGGCCAAAATACTGGGGAAAATGTTATTATGTTTTAAAAACACTAAAAAATAAAAAATAATCCCATTGTCTCATTATTATTAATGTATTTATTATTATATTTTAGAACACTCTCGGCGTTTTGTATCTCAGCTTTTTGGCACGGTATTTATGCAGGATATTATGTTAGTTTATGCACGGTTCCATTGTATTTAGTCATTGAGGATATCTACGACAGACGATATCGAGATTATGCGGATTCAGCCGGGGTAAGTTTTTTTTTTAAAATATCATAATTATCATTTGTTTTAAAATTTATGTATTTGTTTTACATATAGAAACGCATATTGTGGACTTGTCTTTTGTACATAATGAAAATGTTCCAGTTTTCATTTTGGGGTTGCACCTTTCAGCTGCTTCATGTCGACCTTATACTGAAATACTGCCAATCTATTTATTTCCTTCCTTATGTTCTCATAGCTGTTATGTATACATTCACTCGGTACAGTAATTCACGGATAAGTTGACCAAATACAACACAATGGTCAACTTTCGATAACATCAAGAGAGTTCTTAACACGAACCTCGGGTGCTAACTAAACTTTTATTTTATGGTAAAGTTCACCATATTTTTTTAATTAAAATTTAAGTTGTTTATTAAATATATTGTGTTAATATTATCGTATCAGATGAGCTCTCTACAGTACCAAGTCTTTGTATACTAATGCTGCCTTTGGAATCAAGAGACAAAAGACATTTTTTTACTGTTTTTTTTTTCTATGCATTATTGCATACTACTTTCTTTTTTCTTTATCCATCACATCTATTAATTATTTTAAGTTTTATTTTATCACACTTGAATAGTTTAGTCATGATAGTCTTTAGATTAACAAAGCTTGCAACAATATCTATTGATTTTGTTCTAAAAAATAAAACTGAATCATTTCATTGTAAATAATATTTAATTTTGTAGCTATATAAATATCAATTACACTTGCATCTACCTTTTCGTTTTCAAAAATTAATTATATAAAATAAAAATATTAAGTGTATTTGTGATATTAATCAAACTAGAAGATCTTTAAAATAACTTGAACCTTTATGATAGATTATTAAATAATTAATTATATGTAACGTATATGTTGTTTAAAGAATTTTTAAGTTATATTTAAAACAACCATAAGTCACTTTTTCTAATGTTTGTTTTTTATTTATGTAGGTTTTTGTAAAAACGTATTAAATTAATTTTTTTCTATACATTTTTTTATTTTGTATTTTGATACTGAATTTAATATTGAAAAAAAAATGTTGTTCAATATTTACGCTTAGGGACGTTAAATTTATAAAACTTAATTGGTATTACCATGCATATGATTATGTATTTTTAATAAACAAAATTATAATATTATTTAAGTTGACAGTGTTATGAATATATCTAAAACGTATAACATTTTTGCAAGCATAAGTTATTGAATTTCGGTATCAGGAAATCATTGCCTAATAGTAGCCTGTTAGAAATATAAATTATATGTATATTACAGATGTATAAATATACACGTTAAAGTTCAAGTAATTAAACAGTATAAATCAATCATTTTAATTTTTATTATTTGAATTGGAATTATATTTTTGACATTATTAATCTTAAACGATTTTTTTTTTTGTATTTCAATAACTGTGTATAAAACGTGGATTCCCTAGCTTAAATGATTCAGAATTTAAAAAAAAACCACTCAAATTGCAGAATACAATTCTTTTACATTTATAGCCTATTATTTAAGTATACAGATTTAAAATTTAAGCTCTTTATTAATTAGTTATGTAATAATACATTAATGATAACTGTATACAAATCATCTATATCTGGAAAAATAAGTCAAATTTTTAACAATAAAACATAAAAAAACAGATGTATTATGTTCTTCTTTTGTTCTCAAATAATCAATTCGCCTCAAAAGGTACCCGGTCGGTGTCCAGTGGACAAACTAATCTTATTTTAATTTATTGTCTTAATAAAGTTATTTCTCTAATTTAAAAATTACCAAATTTTTTTTTTCAATATTTAAAATATTAAATTAAAACAAAGTTATAAAGAGATGATGTAGATGGAATTGTTTTTTTGTACAAAACAGTAATGTATGTTTCCTGAAAAATTGTTACATATTTAAATTAAGCAGGTAAATTTTATTCTTAAAATTTTAAACGATTCATTCTGTGTTAATAGTTATAATATGCGAAACTGGACTGCGTTTTATTTACTACCTACTTTTTGTTACCGGTTTAAGTTAATGTTTACTTAAACAGTAATAGTTAATTGTAGGCAACACATAAGTAAAACTTATCTTGTACTAATTTTTTTTTTTTAAATATTTGATTTCCTGTTTTTAACATTGTATACTGAAAAGAAAAACTAATCAAGCTTTATAACTTTATTGATCACTGATTTTTTACTTATAAGTTACAAATTGCTATTAAGCATAACGACCATTTAAAATTTATTAATAAGATACTATGCATTTTTTTAAATAATTTTTCTATAATAGTGGTATTAACGTTATTTAAATAAAGATACATACCAATCAAAAGCGTGTTTGGGTTTTTTATTTTCAACTAACGAACATGTTAAATAACAATTTTTCATCATATATTTTTTCAAGTTACAAATTTAGGTTTGCAAAAACTTTTTTTATTGGTGTATAGGAGTGTGCAATTAAAAAACTTTTGTTTGAACATATTTTAAATCATATTATGCAAACAAACTATAAAAAAGTTTGTGCAGTTCAACTGAACATTAGTTAACTTACCTTAAGATGACGTCATAACCCCAATTTTTAGCGTAAAAACACAGAATAAGTTTTACTTGTACCATGAGTTTTTGAGCATTAACACCCAATATGAAAATGTATTTTAATTTAAAGAAAAACATACCTTTTTTAACAAAGTATTAAACTAAATAATAAGCATATTAAAAAAACTAACGGCATTGTCTATAAAATGTTATCATCTTTCGATTTCATAATAGGTTAATGCTCTAAAACCTCCATGGACGGAGTAAAACACAGAAAGTTAACAAAAGCTAACAGAAAGTTCCTTAATAAATCTCTAGTATAATGCCCCATCTTCCTAAACTCATAAAGTAAGAAATCACAATAATTGCACTGTACACTTTAGAACAGATTTGACAAACACATGAAAATAAATCTGATAACATATTGGCTTTTCATTTTTAATAATAAATAATTTATTTTATCAGAAAATAATTCATCACAACAATACGTTTGGGTATAAACATTGAATTTTGTGAATATGAATTGAAGAACAATTATAGTTAGAGGAATAGACAAGGTTCATTCGTTGAGTTGTAAGCTGAAGAGGATAAGACGAGAACGAAGCTACAACTGATTTTTGAAAGCGTACATTGTGTTTAACACTGTGTACCATGTTGATACGGACATAGGTATTACTTATACTCAGTATATTAAATATATCAGATTTTTTTTATAATATCATAGATGAACAATATCGGATTCATCGGCTTGCAGTTTATTGTACAAAAAAAAAAGGATTTAATTTATCAAGTCTAGGAATAATCAATAATCAAATTTGAATTCTTTGTACGAGGGATCAAAAGATTGTACCCTAATGAAACCATCCTCTCCGCCAGTGCTAAAGCTCTCGCCGTCCGGGTGGAATGCCAGCGAATTGATAGGACCGAAATGGCCTTTTACTCTTGCAAATTCTTCTTCGAAAATTACATGGAAGAATCTGGCATCGAATTTCCCAGCTTGAGCCGCAGTTGTTGTTACATCCATAGCTTCTTGTCCACCACCCAAAACAACCTGTTAAAAATCAAACTCGGTTTTTAGTGACACTTACACTGTTTACATAATTCAGCAAATAAATAAATGAAATTTTAAAAGTACATGATCATAGATGGGAGAAAGTGCAGCACTGTTTACAGGTCGCTCAGTCATGTACACTTTGTGTACAGATAAATCTTCCACATCAAACAATTTTGCAGAATTATCTTTTGATGCAGTCACAAACATTGTTCCTTGTCGATTCTTTTGCATGTCATTAATCGATCCATTATGGTCTTTGACTGTTTCGATACTCTTTCCAGTCTAAAACAAACTCGGACAGTAATAATAAATTCTATTTTAATTTTCTAAATAAATCTCACTCTTAAGTCCCATTGCATAATTACACCATCCTCGTGACCAGTGATGATTGTTTTATCCAACGTTCCCCATATTAAAGAAGTTACTTTAGAGTCGGGTACAGTCATTCTAACGATTGGAGCGCTGTTCTCTACAAAAACAATAAACATACTAATAATAGTAATATATATATATATACATCAATACTACTAGGTACTCATATATTACTAGGTAATATTGATTCATTTTTATTTCCCACTAACTAGATTGCAATTTGGGTTATTCATTATCATCCAACACAAAAAATTAAAATATGTAAACCACATAATTATATTTACATATTTTTAATTAAATTACTATAGTTTACAAAACACCTATTTTCCTTACCATTAAATAATAAAAAATATAATACAATACATTTAAGAAGAATCTAGTAATACCGCAATAATAATGACTTACTAAAAGAATCGTCGTCACGAACATCGACAATAAAGATTTCACACTCCTGTTTCATAGCTTGATCGGTAGAATAACTAGCCATATTAGCAGAATAACTAAAAGAACAGGTACGTACGGCGGAATTACTGCTAATATTGCCAATCTCAACACCTGCAAGTTACCACATTGGTAAGTGTTACACACTTAAAATGCGTTACAGAGAAAAATAATGTTTTGGCCAAGAGCATACCTGTGGACACATCCCATAACCTTAAAGAATTGTCTGCAGCGCCAGACAAAAATTTAGACGTTTGCCAGTCGACGTCGATACACCACACAGCTCCAGTGTGGCCGTTGTACGTACCAAGACGTTCTCCGTTTAACGAATACCAGACATTGGGTGTAACGTCCTTAGCCGACGTGAAGAGTAGATCGCCTTCTCGGTTATATTTGATCTGAGTGATGGCACGTTCGTGCCCTTGCAACATCAAAGGTTTCTAAACGGTAAATGAACAATTATAACGACATTAGCATTACAACGACCAGATTATAATAGTTAATTAATATACACCGAATTATTTACCATGATTTTGACGAAGGACGACTGCGTTTCTCAGTAAATTAGCAATTAACCAGACTAGTTACCTACCTACTAAGATTTGTTAGTAAGCTGTAAAGTAAAAATTGTAAACGTAAATAAAGATATGCCAATCGGACCGGGAACACACCACCAAAAGTTAGGTTATGTCACTTATGAAATTATGATTATGATGTTGGAGGTAAAATTCTCAGTGTGGCCAACACTTGGTTTGGCAAAATATTGTACTGCAGTCGGTCTGTGGGGTCCAAGGTAGAAATATTTTTGTTTACAGTTGACACTGTAATAATAGTGTAATGCAAATAAAATAAATATTGATAATGCAATATTGTACACTGCCCGACTCGTAAGTATTAGGCATATGAATTGGCCAGTGGCCTGTACCTATTACCATATTTTATTATATTTTATTTGTAAATTGTAATTGTAATCTTAAAATAATGTTCGACTTCGGACACGAAAGTGTCAATACAAACATAACTATTAAAGTATCGATTATCGTATAGTTTTTATTTGTGTATACATATACACTTTTATATATAAAATAAAAGCAACAACGATATCTGTTTGGGTACTTATTTATTTGAATAATTTCATTCAAGTGATAACCTGAGAGTGATGAAGGTTCGTAATTTTTTATTGTTTAGTGGTAAGTAATAATTTTTAAATAACTTAATTTGCCCACTTTTTTGTTTTATTTCTAATAAATCTATTATTTCTACAGCTACCTGTTAAATTTTCAGTCGTTGGTTCATTATTTTATTTCCGTTATAAATAATGCCTCGTGTGTGTTGTATTGTGGATTGTCGAACTGGACGCAAACACAATACTGAAAAAGTTTCAACTTTTTCCTTTCCTAAAAATGAAGTCATGTATGAAAAATGGATTGAAGCAATACCTCCAGAAAAATTAAGGCGTTGTAAAAAGTTAACCATTTGTGCAAAGCATTTTACTGATGACCAAATTGTTAGAACATGGACTTCAGGAACTGGTCGGACACAAATAGTCGTGAGTATTTATATATTATAAATTAATATAAAATGTGTTCATAGTATGCATTTATAGACCTACTGTCCCACTCTAGAGAAATTACTACAGATGTTCCCTATTAGTCTTATAAGAAATTTTTTTTTTTTACTCGCACACAAACATTAAACATTCAACTTTACAAAATGTTTAGCTTATTTTCTTTGTGATTTACTTATCACTTTATCAAACTGAATACGTATATTATAAACTCTATGCTTTTTTGGATTATTAACAATAAAACGTTTAATAATAACCTACGAATAAGGCTCTCAGTTAACCAAAGAAAAAATCAAATACATGTTTCTGTCGAGGAAGACGAAAAGCAAAGAAGACATGAAAGACTTGAAAGCTGTCTCTACTTTCAACAAGTTAGCTGTCATAATTATCTAGGCGTTAATGTAAATAATATAAATTGTATGCACGAGAAAATCAAACTACGCCTAAAGTGTGCTAAAAAAACCTATTTTTCTATGGTTTCATTGTCAAAGTCTAGATTACTATCCAGAAAAACAAAAAGAAACTGTACACAACTTATTTAAGATTAATGTTACTTATGGCTGCAACACATGGGCCACAACAAAAGCGGACTACAATACACTTTTCGTTTTTGAGAGAAAAATTTTAAGAAAAATATATGGTCCTGTATTCGATGACAGTAAGCAAAAATTGAAAAGGAGGTCAAATAAAGAATTACAAAGAATTTGTATACAAAAAAAGATATAGTGCAGTTTGTAAAGAGTTCAAGACTTGCTTGGTCTGGTCAAGTGTGGAGAGCAGACGGCTTATTAAGATGGTATTGGTAAATCAAATAAATCGAAAAAAACCATGGGGACGTACACCCTGATGCTCCGTTTACTAGTATAAGGTCTATGCATTTTTTGTAGGATATTCATTTTTTTTTTTCAAAGCTTTTAGGAGCCCTTTAGGCTCTGCTTCTAAAACCAATTCACCCCGAATTTCTCATGCGTAAGCTAGGTCCGTGATTCTGTGCCAATCTGGTTTTAACACCTTTAGGTTTTTTTGACATTTTCATGTCTTAGCTCTGGCACATAACCGAAAAAAGCGTTATCAAAAAAGCATTCGTTACAAAAGGGTTCTTTACAAAACCGTTACAGGGGTAGGGTAGGAGATAGGGGGTGGGAGATAGGAGATAGGGTGGGAGATAGGGGTGGGAGATAAGAAATATGTTGTACGTTCAACGTTCAAATTAGAACTAAAAAAAAAATTTTAAATAGTTTAATTCTCTATGTTAAGTTACTTTTGGCCAGATAATAAACACTACAATTTTAGCCAGACACTTGATTGTACATAATTTTTTAATCTCCTTGGCCTTATGCTGTAACTGGAAGCTCCATGTAATTTTTTTTTTTAAATTATTATTCCACCACTACTCTAAATTTATTCGGTACTTCAACGAGGCATGAAAATGCTCTTTCGTGGTTGCAGACTCGGCTGAAAAACTTTTTAACAACATCAAGCCATCTTTACCTTAGACGTCCAGGACGCCCAGTCATATTATTAAATAGTGAATTGTATGTTTGTTCAAAGATGAGGGAAAAGGTTAATAAAAAGTTATGTTATTTCAATGAAATTTAAAAAGTTAATATTATAATTTTTACTTTTCGGTTGAGTTCCGCCGTCTGTGCAGTAATGTCGGCTCGCTTGAACTACATACATGCTTCATCCAGTAGTATAAAGTCTATGGAAAAATGTCATTTTCACTATTTTATCTTGTAAATGTTGATAAAATGTTATCTTATACATAAAATACTTTTGATTAACATAACCCCATGGGTATTTTCATCACATTTTTAATTTCGTTTTGCTATTTTCAGATAGATTTGCAGATGCCAAAGCTGAAAAAAGATGCAGTACCTTGTATATTTTTTGAGAATAAATCTAATGTAAATCCAGTTTTGCCCCCGAGCTCACAAGAGGATGACAATTTAATTGATATAGTAGAAGTAATTTTTGATCATATTTTTTTTATATATATATATATATATAATAATATAATACTTGTGTACAAATTTTTCTAATTTTTTTATTCTTGAATAGGTTGATTACGAAACGTTTATACCAACATCTATAAAGGAAGAACCAGATACAGAAACTTCTGAACCTGAACAATTTCATTCAGTGACACCAGAGCAAATTTTTGAAAACATATGTTCTAATATTACGAATATTATGCTGCCAATTAATTGGAAGTATGAAGTGTATAGAGCAAAGAAGCAATATATTACATTTTACACAGTTACACCAAAGGACACTGAATTGGGAGTTTTGATTGAAAAAGAAATTATTTTACAAAGTGATATGGTTATTACATTGAAGGTATATAATACAAGTTTTGATTTACAAGGTTTATCCTCAGATTCAAAAGTTTCATCTATTGACGAGCTGTTATCAGTTTTGACGGTTGTGAATGCCAAAAGAGTATGTGCTGGCGGACCTTTGGCTCAAGAATTTAATGGAATAACAGTCAGTTGTGCCAGTACAGATGTTCAGAACCGCTGGAGACATGATAATTGTCCGTATTTGTTTGACACATTACTCAACATTAGATGCAATTTTTGCAAAAGACTAAGAGCTACATTCCGTACGCAAAAATCAAGATTATCTGCAGGTCAGTCTTCCACAACAGTATCTTCACTAACAAATAAAAGTAAATTGGACAAGTGTCGACATAAAGCTCGCATTTTACAAAAACAAAACTTGAGAGCCAAGCACAGAATTAAGATTTTACAAAATCAGTTAAATGAAGCCAAAGAACAACTTAAGAGTTGTCAAACCACTTGCTAGAGGATCTTACTATTACTCTTTAATTTGCAAATATATATTTATTATAACAAAGAAATGGAATTCTTTTTAAATCCAATTTTAAAAAACAATTCTTTTTAATAATTGTTATTTGTGTTCAACATTTTCATTGTTTGTAATTATTCTTTTTCTAGATATTTGTGCAATATATTTAATTAAGTTTTAAGACTGTAGTGAAATACATAAGTGTTGTAGCATTTTAAGTTTAGCATAGATATATTATGGAATTTTAAACCTCGCCTAAGCCGTTCTTCTAATACAATGAATGCATGATAATTATTGTTTATTGAAAAACGGTAAATATTGAGTACAAATATGTTACAGCATAGAGATATATTTTCTAAAAAAATTGTATGTGTATTTTATTTTTATGTTTAACAGCACTTTAAAAACCAAAGAGAAAGTTTTTTTAACATTTATTTACAGGGATTATGTATCACTAATATTATTATTAAATATGTTATAACGCAGCAAAACGATATTGACATTTTACATTTAATGTACTATACACTATATATACTGTATATTAAGTAACTATTTAATATAACTATAAAATATAACAGTTATCTTCATAATATTCACATTTATAAGTTATCTGTGTAACACTAAAAAATACTAATTATAGGTAAATATATCAAAATATAAATGTTAATACCTATCTTATAAAATGTATATGGAACATAGTCGGTATTTTTGATTTTCAAATGTATAACTGCTTTGCTGAGTTTTTACTGTACTTACTAGTCGATATTATACTTGAGTTTTCAAAATCAAAAAACCTATTTGTATAGACATTTTTTTTCCAAATATATATTTAAATGTATAATATTATTAGTTATCTTATAAAATACCTAAAGTCGCATTGTAACTGTATGTAATTATCATATTTGTACTTAATAATGTTGTTTGTACATTTATAATATTTACTATAAATAATATTATCTCAATAAGCCATGGGCTAAAATTGTTTAGTTATTTAGGTACCTATAATGTATTAAACATTTGTGACCATTTTGGTATGAACAGATGGTATAAAATTTTTTAAAAAATGTATTGTTTTCGTATATTTTACCTATATATTCCTATACTAGTTAGTTTATTGTAAATTCAATAATATATAAATCATTTTTTTTTTCTATTTTTGGAAATGTATAAAAACTTTTTAACACTGCTAAACATGCTAGTCAATAAAAAAAAATGATGATAACGTTTTTCTTTAGTTATAGAATTATCTGGAATGTTCAAATAGTTAATGATCCAAAATATTGTGAACGACTGTCTTCAATAATGTGTGCAAAACAATTTCCTATTTTTGAGGAAATTATATATTTACTTACAGTAAATATATACCTGTGAATTATAGATCACCTTGTATTTCAAATCAATATTGCCTACTAATCTAATTCTCTGTGTAGCTTTCTCAATTTTTAGTGATCTGAACGGTTAATACAATACAGTTGTCCACACGTAATTTATGTTGATTTGATACAAATAAAATAATATTGTGATAACACAATAGTTATATCTGTATAACATCTTGTTGTAGACAATCGTTAACCAAAATAATGGTTGTTTTTTTTCATTCTTCACAGATAAGTACACATGAAATTGTTTTAAAATTTGTTTGCAATATTATTTGTTTATCGATTGTGATGGTCGTTAAAAAATTCTTCTTATTTATGTATTTTAGTACTTAAGCATAATTCATAAATATAAAATAATACATTTTATATCGGAAGTCATTGTTCGGACTTGACTCGATGAAGGTTCTAGTATAAAAATTAACTGAATGATTTATAGTTACAATATCAATTGACCAATTTCGAAATAATTCTTATAAAATGTTTAAAATTCGTACTTTACAAAATTTATGACTATAATCATAGATTAAGTAATACTTATTATATTATAGTATTATTTAATCTGTTTGTAGGAACGTTGTTTTCACAAAATGCTTGTCATAGTTTATAATAAATGTTTATCTAAAAACATAAAAAAAATTGTGCTAAATAATTTCATAGGTTTCTTGGTTAGGTATTAAAAAATGTCAATCAACAGTTGTAAAAAATGTACAAACCCATCAACAGCCATTTCTGTATTAATAGGTACCATTTTTGTTGACATGTAATTATATATTAATATGCAAATCGGTGGCAAGTGTGTATTAATAAAATATTCGTTGTGCTATACAATAATTATTAAGTCTGTCTAGAACTATTTTATTCTAATTTATAATTTGAACGAATTGAAATGAAATAGGAACTTAAAACATTAATGGCTGGTTGAATGTTCTTGCGGTTTCGCAGCTCAAAACTTTTTCATTATCAAAGTATAAATCAATTCACTGTACTTATGCAAAATGGTTAGTTTTTAAAACCGTCCTTTTCTGATCTGCGCAAGCGAATTCGAGTTTTAGAACAAATCCCTATATTAAGGGGGTTTGCATGAGGTCGGTATTTAAGGAGTTTTGTATAGGCAATAATTAAGAAAAAAGAGGTTTGATAAATGTCCACCATGTAAATTCATTTACCGGTTAAGTTGTATTATTGTTAATTTAAATAATTTTTTCTACGAGTAAAAGCCATTTTGGTTTATTTTAGACCAAAAAGCCAGACAAAATTTTAAATTATAAGCTGGTCCAACTTCAATTATGCAAAGAGATTTGAGTTCTTTGGCTACTTTACTATGTTATGTAGGGAGCTGATTTACATTTAAACGTTTTAAAATACGGTTTTGACTGACATAGCGTAACTGTAAAATATAACAAAATATTTATTATAATGTTATAGGTAATTGATATTTATGATAATTGTATTTAATGGTCAAATAATTTTATTACGACGGCGGCAAATATACATAAAGCAGGAATGATAGTAAAATAATTTAAAATAACTTAAATAAGTTATCGTTTAAGTAAGTATATGCCTTCTCTGAAATCATGATGTATTATTTTATCGCTTTTTTAGGGTCTTTAGATTTTTATGTTAAAATTAGTTGTTTCAACTATCTAAATTGTATAATAAGCTAAAATACTAAGTTAAAAGTTTAACATAAATAATAAACTATCGTTGACCGATAAAGATATTTTTAACTAAAAAAACATTTTCTTATTTACTATAGAACACTGAATATAAAACAAATCCAGTAGGTATACTTCAAATTGTTAAAAATTATTAAAACGTTAATTATAACAACTTATATTACAGCTTAAAAAGAAAAATACATCTAGTTACTCATTACACAATATAACCACTATTCAATGGAAATCCTGACCCAAACTCTATCAAAATATTCATTAAAAGGTCGAACAAAACTTGGATTGTTAGTAATTAAAACGCTTTCCCAATTTTGGAATGCCCCTTGATGAGTCCAATTCATTGATCCATTTATTAACGTTGAAGAATCGACAATTGCAAATTTATTGTGCATATATACGTTGTAGTCTGCTTGAAACTTAGTTTCCACACCGTATTTCATTAATTTTTTTACTTCTTTTGAATATAAAAGTACGCCATTGCTAACAACGACACGAACCAAAACACCACGGTTGTATGCATTTATAATTGCATCCGTTAGAGGTTCGCTAGAAATGGTATAGACACAAACATCGATAGATTTTTGTGCCAAATTCAAGCAATTTACTAAATCAGCGATGTTAGGACATGACGACTCTTTAGGACGGTAGAACAAAGGTTCAAAAAATAAAATTCTCATGTTGTATTTTTTCTTCATGTAATCCTGGAACAAGTAAGTTACGAGTGCAGTAGCACTTGTCAACAAGGTCCATGTTGTGAACGATTCTATACTGAATCTAAAATGAAATAACAAAAAAAACATGATAAGTAAAGTAGTTCAAACGTTTAATTACACTTGAGGTAATGTAAAATAATATGCTGCACGCCATGTAGTTATTATAAAGAATTACAGTAAAAAAAAACAAAATTTCTTACTTGAAAAACATTTTTAGTTTTACATCCTACGGCGGACCGAAAACAAAATTCAAAATCAAAATTACGTTAGTGGTTTGATTAAATAACTGGATCGTGATAGAAGTTTATCTATCAGTCAAAGTTTATAGATAACAAACGATTACGTACAAACCACATTTTTGATAACGCCACCATTTCCAAAATCCACAACATGTCCTTAATTTACATTATATTGCCCAGTGACAATTTTCTCTGTCATCCACTTGACCTAAACATAGATGAAATACTAGGTAGATAGATTTAATCTATGACCTCTGACCAAAAAGGATAAATAGATACCTAATTGGAAAATGTGGCTATTTGGCTGTTAGTATTTACTTTTGCTCCATATTTCCCAATTTTAAATAATCATCCCACAGAAAATATATTCATTGGAAAAAGTAGATATAAGCTAATGCGTTTTGGATATTTTCTTATTTTTAATAAATTAGATTATTAGTTAGTATTATGACTTTTATAGCAATTGTGTAACTGTAATTGTGAAATCACTCTACTAAGTATAATGTAATGGTCATACGATAAACCAGTGAATTTATCTTGTATCGATTTTTATCATTTGAATAATTTTCTTTTTTTATTATCTCTATTTTATTTTAGACCAAAAAGTCAGACAAAATTTCGACTACATATGCTGGTCCAATTTCAATTATGTAAAGAGATTCGAGTTCTTTGGCTACTTGACTATGTTATGTAGGAAGACGATTTTCATTTAAACATTTTCATTTTCTTGTAATTAAATAAATTAAATATGCAATTTTTTCAATATTAAAACCTGATTTTTTACATAAAAAAATATAAGATCTGTTTCCTACATAACTTGTAAAGTAGCCAAAGACAGTTTTTTTGACATCTAATAAAAGTTCACGTTGTATAATGTGTAAAAATATTATATTTTTTTAATATCATGATTATGGGCTATAGCCATGTTATTTTTTTATCAAAATATCAAGGAAATATTTTAATTTTTCAGTCAGTGGTGCACACGCAAAAGTAACACATTATTTCTATTCTCTCAAAAATACATTTTGGTTTAGGTGAATTTATCAAAATAATTGGTGGGTTTATGTTTTGCTGTTATAAAACAAATTGACAACGTTTAGTAAATTCGTGTGAAATTAGTTTTAAACTTTTTTTGTTGAAACTACCAAGTTAATATGTTTGCATTAAATCGTCCAAGTTTATTTAGGTACTTGTATTTTTACCTTTATTACACCGTGTCATAGCTTCATGCGTTTACAACATAATAATATAATATATTGTTTGTAAGTACCATTCGTGTAATTTTCAGTTGATGTCTAACTAAATAAGGTAAAAGGTAAAAAATAAAAATCACGTACAGGTGGTTCAGTCGTTTATTGAGACACAAAATAATATAAATTAAGTAAATAAAAAAATAAATAAATTAACATAAACATGTTATATACTTGATGATCCGTATAAGGACCACAGTGTTATCTAAAAACAGCTACTATAATAATCCTGAATTGTGCATGACATCAGACATATTAAGTAGGTAGGTACATATTTTATGTGCTGAGGGTGTTTACTGTGATTGAAGGATTACCGAATTAATTTTGCATTTTCATAACATGTGTTGGCAGTGTTATGCAAAAATGTCTATTAAGATGAAACAAAATACATGAAACATGAAAAAAAAAATGGTTTTTTAAAAGTAATAATTATTCACGAGCAGGTACGGCGAACTCTGAACTCTGAACGTTAAATTATTCGTCATACTTATAATATTCAATATTGTGTTGTTTTGGTGTCTACATCCGATTTAAGGTCTAATCTAATAAATTGCACAAGGTTTAAGTATACCGACAAAAATAATATCACTAGTTACTATTATACACACATTTACTGTTGTAAGCAAACAGTTACTATGATCTTAAAATATGTTCGTTTGAATATTCAATTTTTTTATAGGGGGGGGGGGGCTAATTGTAAAATTGTAATAACAAAGCAAGTATGCAACATTAAACCAATACAACGACGTTTTCCATACCCATCGCATAATAGTCTAGTCGACTACCCACTATTTTAATGGGACCATTACTTATAATTTGTTTACTCTCGTTTAAATAGTATAGTAAAGATGAAATTTTCGCGATAAACTAAGATTTACATTAATCACGAGAGCGTAACGGCATAAACGTTGTACATCTTTATTTCTAATACAAAATTTTTAAAAGATTTACATACATCGAACAAGCGTTGAAAGTATACAATTTTCGGTAACAAAAGCAGTTTTGATCATATATATATATATAAAAAAGCCAGAATTACCTTTAAATATTTATAAATATATTTTTACAAGTTAACTTACGCGAAACTAAATACATTAACTACTATACATTTACATAGAGATCAACGGTATACTAAAATAAACATAATCCATTATAGGCACTCGATGCGGTCCCGTTTTGTCGGTTATCATTGTTGCCGTCATAATCGTATACTATCATATTTTTTTTTTTTTACCACCAATACAGACATTATAGAAGAAAAAAAAACATGTAATATTACAATGTGCCAAGATTTACGGTTATTGTAGGGCGGAAAAAATCGTTATATTAAGATTGGACAATTTTATACTAACAACTAAGTACTAAACGATAAAAAAAAAAAAAATGATTTAATAATACAATTTGGTCCTTTCGTCGCACGTTTTCCATAACAACACACACGTGACGCGATGCCAGACGAAGCTGCAGTAAGCCTTAACCGGGTTTCGCCTGGGAGTAGGTGGGGGCGAGGTGGGGTGGGGCGGGGATGGCTTGATCAGTTGACCGCCACGTCGGTCCGGGGCAGTTTGTACAAGCCGAAAGTGATCAGGTTGGCGACGGGCTTGCACAGCTGCATGCTGACTTCGAGCACTTTGCGGCCGTCCTCGGCGGCGACGGTCCGCTTGGCGAACGTGAAGTAATCGTTGGTCAGCGGATAGCTGGCGGTGTTCAACGTGGTGGGTATGACGGCCGTGGTCAGGTCCGACGTCCGGGCCACGATGTCGATGGCCGTGATGGTCACCAGACTCTTGGGCGGGTCGTAGTAGGACACCCCGCCGCCGCCGGCCGAAGAGTCCCTGTACTTGTACGCGGTCAGGCCGCACGTCTCCACGTGCGCGCTGAGGAAATCGCCGAAGGTCCGTCGGCCCGAGTACGCGAACATGTTGTAGTCCGTGGTCGCGTTGTTGTTCTCGTTCCGCCAGCTCACGGTCATGGCGCACGCGAAACCGTCCTGTTCGTACTCCATCGACGCGGTCAACGTGTCGTCCTGCTCCAGCTCCGACCGCATCGTCTCCACGTGGAAGTACTTGAAACTCTTGTCCATGAAGAACCTGTTGGCACCAAGACGCGGCCGATTAGGGTCTGCTACGGTTACAAGCACAATACAGGGCGAAGAGCAGGATGTGTATGATCATAGGAGTCAACCGGAAAGATAGTTGAGAATATACGAGAAGGTTGCAAAAGAGAAGAACAGATTGATTGGCAAACAGTGTACGAACGCGGTACTGACCTGAGATCGCTGGGTCGGTTGATGTTGATTGGACATTTTTCTTTTCCATAAGGCAAGACTAAACCGTCGGACATGAACGTCATGAACGTCTTATCAATCGAGCACTTGCTTTTGCATATGGTGTCCGGATCGGGAAACTGTCGTTTGAGTACTCTGGACAACAGTATCTGCGTTCCTGGTCGATCGGGCATGACCATGACCAAAGGACCATCGCGGCCGGCGTATATACCACTGCCGCCCACGCTCATCGAAGGTGTATTGTAACCGGCCGCTATTAGATTCACGTCGTTGGTGTACGCCCAACCGGACTGAACCGAATCGGCTGTAACGACATCAAAGGGTGTGTTAATAGGTCTGTACTTTCAGGAAAAAAGAATGGTGGAGCAGATAAAAATGTTAACATTAAAAAGAATACATTTTGTGGAGTTCAAAAAAAAAGTGTACATAAAGCGTTTTAATTAAATACGAGAATAAATCAGCGGTGTACTTGACCTCCTTGAAATGCAACTATATACATAATTTACTGACAGTTCTAGTGGTTCAAATTAATTGACTCTCATTATAAGTGGTTAGGTACGCTAGTTTATGCACGTCAAACGATAATAATTGTCTAGTACAAAATAGCATGAAATACATGTTTTCTGTATACCTACGGTAACAAGTACTCGGTGGGAAAAAAATCATTCATTATAATATACCTATCCGAGTACCAAAGTTGATATAGTTAATATGTTGTCGATTTGACCGACACCGTACATTTTATCGGGTCTAGCCTTAAAAAAAACCTGCTGGGATTTTTAGGTTTGGATTTTTTTTGTTGCATACTCTGATCCAATAATGTAAGCGTTGTAATTCAATTTAGACACGAACAATGAGCTTTGTCTGACAATACACTCGTAGTAGGTATGTGTGAATGTCTTCTAGTATTTGTTTTACTTTGCATATACCTTTTGTGTGAAACTATGTATTGTATCGACTTACCCGTAAGCAGAGGGATTTCTGAAAACCAAGCCGTGGAATACACTACGTCCTTGACGCCTTTTTCTTGAATGACAAGATTCGCCGGATTTTGAAATAATATGTCAAAACATATGAACATTCCAAACCGAACCCCAAAGTCAGTATCGAACGTGCATAGTTCTGACGAGTGGGTAACGTTGAAACCACCTTCTCTAAATAAATTAAATTTCCTGTACCTGAAAAACATAAATGAAAATACAAATAGAATCACCTTCTTATTCTTCACTTTATTTCAGACAAGTCAAGTGGGCCAATAAAATCCATTTTCCCCCTATCCGTACATCTCCATGTTTTATTTATCCTTATGTGCTACTGCTCCGGTTAGGTTTAGAACATGGGTGACAAAGCCGATCCCAAATAATAGGGATGGAGACAAAGGAAAAAAAAACTACGGACTAGGAAATTCTCGGTCCATATTAATAATTTTTTAATTATGTAGTTCTGTCGACGATCATGGATGCATCCTTAATTTGTTTTCTTTTAAAGTGATGATATTAAATATAATTACTATACGACGACTATAAAATGGATGTCGGCATGGCAAACGGTTAAGTTTAATTACTGAAAAAAAACTACCGGTCATTATATCATATATATTTATGTATAATATGTGGTTTGTAAACGAGTTTTGATTTAACTATAGACTAGCCAACGACGTTTAAATCAGAAGAGAAAAATAATTAAATCGAAACCCGGTTTTGGTCGGTCTAAAGAAGAAACAACTATTTATATTGGCTACACATGTGGAATAAACGATGTCTAATTGGATTTTTCATGATGAATTAAGGAAATAAATATTATTATATTTCAAATTTACATTAAAGTTATAGCTTTTTTTGCAGAATATCGCGCGATTTAATCGGCTGCGCAGTAGGCCATTGCGCACGTTCTTAATATTTTTGGAATTAAACAATTTCAATTACCTGGCTACTATTGTTCCTTGTCTGTCGAAAACCACGTTTGTATTGTAATAATTGGCCAGGTCGTCCGCACACGAAGGGTCTTCTTCTTTACTACAATATTCGATTTCCGGCAAGTTGACCACCACATAGATGCGATTCAGACGAGCGGCGCACGACAATTTTTTCAATATCTTAAAAAAACAAACGCCACATTCTTTGAATTTCGTATCGATCGGTTACAGGCTACAAGGACATTTTTTTGGGTAGCTCGACAGGAGTGCATAAACAATTCGAACATACAAATGTCGGTGTTAAAGTCATTAGAAATGCTACAGCGTTTCAAAAAATAAATTCAAAATCTAGTAATATTGTTGTTGGAATTTTTTATTTGTAGGAGATGAATTTTTTGAAAATGCTTTTTTAATTTTTGCTATATCCTATTTTGTTTTGTTTATTTTCGCCAAACCCGTCACACTTCTGCGGTTATACTAATATTAACAAAGCACCGACAAATAACTATGCTTTGCACACAGTTAGGCGAAACTGTAAATTTTGTTCACCTAAGTATTTGTTATGGAAATGTCGATACATAGTAGTCATTATAACATTATTATTATTGTTCTATTGTATGCGAATTTGTTTGGACGATTAGTAAATATTCTAATAATTATTAAGCACGAGTAAAGAATAAAAATTATCTGTAACATAATTGGATATCGACTTACTATGCTGCATTTGTCCGTAAAACAAGGGATGGTATTGCTTTCCGGCGAAGGGATTTCTGTAACAAATTGTTGGATGTCTTTTCTGTCGTCGGGCAAGGTGAGCCCGGTGAGGCCGCCCTCCGGGAAAACCAATATGTCTACATCCTGTAATAACAATTATAATAATATCATTTTTTTCCCAATACAACACACGAATAGAGCTGAATAATTAGTCGCCCTATTTTTCTTTCTTGTAAATTTAGAGTACAGTTTTGAACAAGCGATATGGTACGTATGTATTTTTCCATAAGCGTCTCGGCTCTAATAATTAGTTTGCCATTAACACTATACTAGAAAATACTTTCACGGTAAACGTGTCTCTCCGGTGTATAGTATTTCGTAATTTATATTATTTAGGATATTTTCGAGAAAACAAAATATTCGATTGGTTGATTGTAAACATGCACTCACGTATTGACTAGCGTTTGCTATGATGTCTTCGTATACCGGAAGATTCTTTTGGATAGACTGCAACGGGTTTGAGCCTAATGTGGGCAAATATTCGACGACAGCCGCCACGTAATACTGGCTGTCACATCCTTTGTTTTTATTCGCTTCATTTCCACCGCTAACCATTAGGGTTAACTGTAAAACACACAAACGGTACATTGAAGATTTCAATTTAATATATACATATATATATATTGTTATCAAAAACGTTTATTCTTAATATTGTTTTATCTAAACTACTACGACTATAACGGTCGCCGCCATATAATAATATTAACTCGTGACTACAACATCTTAATACTGTTCGGTACTATTGTTTTTAGTAAAAGCACGTTCCGTTAATTAGTATACATTGTGTGAAATTATAAAGACAGATTTTCCACTATCATACACAGGAACGTGTAAAGCTAATAGTTTGATACGAGTTCCCTGTTATTTGTAATGTGTATATTTTATTTTCGGTTATACAGTGTGGTTTTTATTGAACTCTCGTATAAAATATGTGAGAACACATACATATCAAATAACATAAAAATGCGAACTAAGTATACACTATACGTGTTTGCACATCTTATATCTATGCAATAAGTGCCAATTGATATATTTTATTGCCCCTTTGGTGGCAATAAAATATATTAATTTATCAAGACTTAGGACTTCACAAATAATTTGTAGCACGCTGATTCTCAACTTATCACAGATAACTATTTAATTGAATTCAATTTAAATTCGTCAACTACGTATGCACTTGACTCAACTATTTTGAAATTAATACACGCTATTTTTAGTCACTGTTGATTTCATTTGATAAAATGGATACCTACTTTGAATTAAAACGTAGGCCAGGGATAGCGAGGTTGTAGGCTTTGCTTTTTTTTTATTAATAAGTCAATAATTAATAACCATAATCGACTATAAGACATTTATGGCAATTGTAAAAAATGAATGTCATGATTTTATTATAATTTGATTGCTTTAAGATATTATTTAATTGCAAGAAAATAAGTTGAGACGATGAAACTATTTTTTTTATCTAGATAAATGTTTATATTTTTACTTCCCATACTTTATCCATTTTAGATCCAGTACCTGTCGACTGGTGATTTAAATAATTGTTTTTGAAGTAAATACATTTTAAATCGTGATACAAGCAAGTGTAGTGTGCATAGATAAAAATTACTTCAATGTATCTATTCTTCTTAGACTTATAATATCAAGTTAAAGTTTAAGAGACAGGCAGATTTTAATGTAAATGTTATATCTACGTACTATGCACTCGCCCTAAACCGTCTGAATGGCTTGAAATAACTTTTAAAACGACATAAAATTATTTAATACTGGTTGTCTACTGATCGATTTTTTTTGTAGAACAATTTTTTAAACATAATAAAATATAATATAAGTCGCCGTTATAATACATTAATAATTAACCGTTGTACCGTCAGATCGAAAGGGGAGAAAATATGTAAATGGTGAAAAAATGGATAATTATGATAATGTTGGCATGACTCAGGCATAAAAAAACTGGTTTTATAAACATTTGTAATTTACTATGTATTTTATTTATATCATATCTCTAACTTGTATTTCAAAATGACTATACTAAAATAATACCATGACCAAATAATATCATGTACCATGACGTGTTGACCAGTAAAATGTATCATTAGATAACATATTTTTATTTAAGTTATTAACAGAGTCACTGAGCATCACCTGTATTTTAGTAAATTCTACAGTTATATAGTCGATGTAACAGTTTTGAGCGAAAAATTAATAAATATTAATTAGGCCTAAGTATTATTTAATTAAGCCTATATTATAACATCTACTTACCCCTGAAATGCACGTAACAAATACTAAAATCAGTAGCATTATGTAATTGTAAAAAACTGCCTTAACTATGTTCTTAATTCTAAAACAAATAAGTTGAAAATAATTAACGTGCATATTCATTTGGAACAAAAAATCATCTACTACTCGTCGAATTAAAAAAAAAAATAAAGCACAGACAATCATAAAAACATAATAAACGGATTATTGTAGCAGACTGTTCGGATGTTTATTAAAAGGCACGAAACGTATGTTTTCAATTTTTACCTATCATTCAATTTAAGCCCCCACTTTTCGATAATCGATAAAAACATTATATTATATTCTGTATAATATAATAATCTACTTATTTCACCACCTTTAACCGATTTGGAAGGGAGATGAATAATAATGAATTTTTTTCATTTTAATGATACTTAAATGACGTAAACGTCGCGGACTGAACAATATGTTTTCGACGAAAATACAAAATGAAACTGTGCTATTTTAAATTAGTATACAAATTAAATTAATGTTAAAGGTACGCTAAAGTGTCGATCAGTTCAAACTTAAACGTCCACATAATATACTTGTAACTTGATTAATAACTGTTACACCGGACTTTGTGATGTTTACAGGCGCTGACTGACCTCTAGTTTTACGCATGTTTTTTTTAGCATTTATTTTATCGATATTATTACAGCTCAGACGACGTATCATATATTATTATAATAAATTATTCCCGGAGGTTATTTTTCTTTGACGTCAGAAATAATTTACGTATATTATTATTTAATCGGTGTTGACAAACCCTGGTGGCTTTTAAGACCTTGAAAGGATAAGACTTACTTACGACAAAGGTGTAGTAATGCTTACAAAATATAATTGAGTTTGAAATATAAAATCGGTTTATACTTTTATGTATTCCTAACAATCAATATGTATTCATACATTGTTTTAATGTTAAAACGAAACCATTAATACAATTACAATTGTATATAATTAAGTTCGGGATATAAAAGACTTTTGACCTATGAACAAAATGCCCCTAATGTACATATTATGGTACAATAATGTATTATGTAGTCCTAAATCCTAATATTACTCTTTGATGTTTGAAATATATTTTAATTAGCCAGTACCACAAAAATTTAGCAATAAGCACACAAAAAACACTTATTCGTGTATTGAAGCATTATTGAAGTATTCTACACTAATAAAACCAACTATTCAAATCAGAATATTATTGGTTCTTGGTCGGTAAGACCAACAAAGGACCCAAAAATGTATCGACCTTGATGTCGCACCCTACTTGTTTCTTTCAGGTTTACATTTAGTCCGAGCCTTAGTAAAGTAATCACTGAGAATATAATAACTAATTAAGTATTGAAATTAAAAAAAAACCTATGACCTACCATTATTGAGTCGTGCCGGCAGCTATTATTTGACATAGGATTGTATTTGTATCTACACATATTGTGGAATTATATTGACTAAATACAATGCCAAGACAATAATAATAACAAAAGCCTTAACAAAACAAGAGTCTTAACTTAGACAACATAAAATCGATATAATAATTAAAACGGTAATCCAAAAAGTCTATGGTTTAGACTACCCGTGGCAACATTGATTAACGATAAACTAAGACCAATAGAGTAATGGTCTGTATTGGTTTATAAAAACGTACTTTGTACGGTCATCGGTGATGACTGTATAGCAATTATTATTAGATAAGTCACCTTATGATACACAACGTTTCGAGCTCAGGTTTTTTTATTCAATTACTAATCGCGGGTACCAATTATAGATTAACCTCTAATAAAACTCCCAAAAAAATGTGTTATTTCTAATTAGTAATGTATTTTTTAAGAGCTTTTTAAAACATTGATAATTAGTATAATATAATATAATAATAAAACAATAGTTGAGAGTATAATTGTATATATATATAATTATGTATACATAAACGTCATAATAGTTAATTGACAAAATCACTGAATGATCTCGCTACTCATATGATACCTTTGGCTATGTTGTAATCTAATAATTATCTTTTTTTCTTATTGTGCCTTGACGTATATATTGTAAACGTATTAAATTGCCGTTATCTCTTGTACCAAAGTATAACACTTGTCTGGTATCAGAAATTTCGTACTAAAGTGCGGGCAGTTTTTTTTTATGTATCGAGATTTTAACCCTGAGGTTAAAGTAGTTATAAAAAACATAATTTTAAACAACGAAACATAATTGAAGAATCAAGTTCATGGTATTTTAAATTATTAAAGCGCTGTTTAAAGGAATTATGGATGTTGAACGGACTAAGTTGTTGTGTTTTAAAATTATTGTTTCTAATTTGTGTGGTTAAGGGGAAATTATAGGTTTTTAGTTTTTAACCATAATTCAGTAGGGTTATACTTAGTGATATTTTATACAAATAAATAACAAAATAATTAGCAAAAAAACGGATTTTTGTTGGGTTTACAAAAACCTAATTTTTTTTGTTAAATATCAAATATTTGCTGGGCTTCAACAATAAAAAAGTTAGTAAACAGTGAAAAATATGTTTTCAAAAATAACAAATTATTAAATGTAATATAACCATAGAGTATAAAATATCATATCGAGTTAGTTTAGTTAGAGTAGTAAACTAGCTATAATTATTATTATTTATTATTATTTTTAATAAACCTAGTACAAAAATGGATAATTATAATCCATATGATATATTCATGGGATCATGATCATGGTTATTATTATTACTATTATATTGAATACTTTAACAACATAATAATACACAACACACGTTTGTTACATTTATACTAATACAATTATTATGCGTGGACTTATGGTGCTTATGTACGTGACCAGCGGGCAGCGACTGGATGTTAATTCGAATGCTTTATCATTTTAGCAGGACAATATCTTATATTTTTAAAACAAAATTAAAATAGTATACAAACAATAACGGTATAACGTGATAATAACGATTTACCTCTAGTTATAAGTAGTTGTGGTTTGATCTAAAATACTTTACTCCAGTTGAAAAATCGATAAAAAGAGTACTAAAAAATATATAAACATGTATATACTCTATAGTTAGTTATAACTAATCTATAACAAAGACTATCTTCCGGTACTTTCAGCTATTTCGTAGTTTACCGACAGTTAAATGTATACAGTATATAAATTGAAAAAAGATTTTTACACGGATAAGAGTGTGCGGAAACAAAATTTTCTAATTAACTATTCTTTTAATTCTAAAATTGGCAACAAAATTTGTAATTCTAATCTGACTATTACGTCTTTATATACATGATATG